AAGCTAAAAAAAAAAAAGAAACCAAACCAAAAATCACTTCCTATAGGCTTACGTAACATTTTTTTAAATTATTATTCTACCATTATGTTTTTATTCAGTAATTTTTTCTAGTGTTGGGAAGTGATGTAATGCTAATCTGTTGGGTTTGTTTGTGTTTGTTGGTTTTTTTCTAAAAAAAAGTATTTTTCAGAATCCTGGAAGAGAACATTTGCTGTGCTATGAACAGCACAAAAGCTACTTAATAAATGGGAGAATAATTATGAATAATACAGTTTATCAGTTCTTGGATGGAATTAACTTTAAACTGAGATTTCACAATGAAGAGAAAAGACTCCTCTGACAAATAATATATCAACAGACTCTCTATCTAAGGGTTACAAGAACATAGTTTCATTGTGCTCTGGATGAATTTCATCTTTGTGATTTAAAAAGAAACTTGAGGTTGTTAAGTAAGTCTGGAGATATAATTTTATTTTTAGTTTATTTTATTTTAAAAGTTATTATTGTGACTCACTTATGCTTGTCGTTTTTCCTCTCATTAACACAGAATTTTCGATAGCCAGTTCATGACTATAATACAGTTTTGAACCACAAAGTAGACATTCATAGTAATTTTCCTCTTGGAATATGTGTGATTATTTATAGATGAGACAGTTACCAGTAAATACAATGGAAACAGATATCTATATTTGGAGTTAATGTGCTTTAAATTTGTATGCATATATATAAAATATTTGTACAATATGAGTAAACAGATAACATACCTTTCAATACATTTGAATTGTAGTTGTGGTACATTTTGTTTCTTTTTGCAGCTAACTAGTTTTAAGTCCTTTAAAAGCAATTTGTTTGTCTAACACGCTAAACATGCTGTTTGGTCGATGTTGCAAGGGACATCTTCTACTCTCTTCTCACTCCATGAAAAAACAAAATAAAACTCCAAGGTCTCAGACAGGTATAGCTGAGGAGAAAAAAGAAAAACTTGTGAATCGGAAATAATAATTTACATATTGAGACGAAATTGCTTAGGTAACTTATTCAGCCTACTTACAAGTCCGTAGTGACCATCAGACATTTTTCTATTCTATTCCATTCTATATTCTATTCTATTCTATTCTATACTAATCTTTTTGTAATTAACAACTGCCAACTGAAAGGTTCCTCTAAATTTTCAGTAGTTACTTGCAATTTGTAACATTGCTATTAGATTCAGTATAACTGAGCCATACCCTGTGGTTAATTGCTTTTCTTCTGTTTACTGTATGTTTTCATTGTCATCTTTATTGGAGTACAAAATTGCAAATTTTAAAATGGCTTCAGGAAACTAGTACTAAAGACAGGTTTTAAATTATCCTCCAATTCTGCATAGGTTTTTGTTATGGAATTAAATGGAGAGCTACATGAACTACTGTTAAAAGAAATGTGTATTTGTAGATGGGTCACAGTCCTTTCAGCTCTGGACTCCATGACGCCAGGAGAAGTTGGAAACCCACACGGTATTTGTAAATGTGAGATTTTGCATTTAGATAGGTTTGAGCTGAAAAAAACTGAAAAAACTCCCGTAAGCACAGAGCTCCTTACTGTCTATGTGTTTGAGAAGGCTGAAGAGCTCTGTTTATTGCAACAAAGGGCCTGGAATAAATTATGTTTAGTAAATTGGCTCCAGGTTTTCCTGTTTCAGACAGTAGCTTCGGCGCAATCTGTTTTATAGGCTCCACTAAATCTGACCGGTTGAAGGGAGGTGACACCTCATTTCAGGGACGTGACATCACGCATGTGCCAGTTACGTCCAGCCGCCTCTCTCTGGCAAGATGGCAGGACACCAGCAGATCAACATTGTGTCTTTTGGCAGTTTTAACCTACAGCCCATTACGAATTTATGAGCCCCTCAGGGAGGTCCTAGCAGGATGGAGCCAGGCTCCTTGGACCCTCTTCAACACCATGCCTCCCACCGTCGTGTGGGGCAAATAATAGCCCCTTTATTCCACTGGAAATACCCCTATTTCAGTGAGGTGTATGCATAGCTTCCTTCCCCAGTTGGTCTCACAGGTGATAATTAACACAGTGCAGCTATTTCCTAGCTGAAGCCAAGGTGGGAAAGCAGTTTTAGCCTCAGCATTTTTCTTTTCTTACTCTTTTTCCTCATTTATTTTGGGTCTGTTCAGGATGAGGAAGTTTTAGATCGTGTTGGTGCTTAGCAGAAGTATCGAAGAACTGAAGGAAACAATATTTTTTCCTCATCTGACAGAACTCTTCTTACTTTTAAGGGGAGGAAAGGAGGAGTGAGTTTGATTTGCTTTTAGTTTTATATTTTATTTCTCTTCATGGGTCTTTTACGTTTGAGCAGCATGACTATGGCTCTGTAAGCACAGGACACTGATTGACATTGCATATGTTACAGAGAGGAAGGATATTTCCTGAAGATTAATGGCCAGTTAGCTGCTCTGAAGTTCATTAACCTGAGCTAGTCATTAGACTACTGGAAGGACTCTGTAGAGGCTGGAATTGTATTAGAAGTTCATCATAAACTAAAAATATATGTGACAATCTGGCCAGATTGCAATGAATCCAGGACAAGACAGGGTTGGCTCGAGCTCACATAGCAGCTGCATCCAGTGTAAACTAACCTTCTTGTGTCAGGAATTAAAGTAAATGGTTTTTCACAGACATTCAAGTGAAACGGGGAACAAAAACTGAAGAACCCTAAATGAAAAAATGAGGTTGTGAGGTGTGACCAAAAGGCCAGGTTTGGTGCCGGTCCTCAATCTGCAATTAAGCAAATTACAGTGTGTTCAGGCAACTGGTTTTTTCTATAAGCGAAAAATTTAATCTTGATTCTTTGCTGTACTTTGCCTTGACGAAATGAACCCCAAATCCTTTGGTGAGATCCCTGTTGGGTGAGACCCAGGCCCTCAAGCCATGACTTCTCAGCATATTTGCAGTGAGGCTGGCTCCTTCTTAATTGCTTCTTTTTGAAGTATGGTTTGTGTCTATCATCCCACTGAAGATGAACAGGGCTGATGTCTCTTGTCTTTAGTCCTCCCCCTCCCCCCTGCATTTATTTTCCCCTTCTTCCCCCGAAAAGAGATTTTTTTAAGGTTGTATAACCTTGTGATAGTCTGTTCATCAGCAGTTCTTCATAATCCAAACACAAATAGATGTACCTCCATAGAAGAAGAACGGGCCTTCTCTCAGGACCCTAGACTATAATAAAGCAAAGGGAAAAATGAACCAAAGGCATTTCATGATTGTTTTGTTTTCTTTCCATGTCATCTTATGAATATGTAATGGCACTTGGCCAGAAGTAGTGCAGTCAGACACTGAATGTGAATGTTGAGGGAGGGATTGAGAAGAAAGAAGCTCAATGTTCCACGATAGGAAGGAAGCTTCGGGCACTTTACAAATTGTTTCCCCTCTCTCTTTCCCCGTCATGCCCTTCCTGCACACTCTCGTCTTTGCAATTGGCAGAAGATCTGGAGGCCCAGAAAGCCTCAGCTTCTTCTGAGAGAGGCTTCCTCTGGCACAGAGAACTGAAGGGGTCCTCTTTCCAGTCCCTTCATGCCAGGAGGAATGTACTGTCGGCATCATGAGGTGCTAAATTGATTCTGGAAGCCTCTGCAGCTCACCGAGGTGCTCTGGCACCAGTGCTGCAGCGAGCTTCAGTGCCAGACCTGTGGAGTGGTTCCGCAGCCACGAGCTGTGCTGCATCTCTGGGCTCACAAGGAGCCTTTCCTTTGATGTCTGGGCAAGTGCTGCTGATGTGGGCACTAGGATTACTCTTTTAATCATGTGGTTTCAGTACCTTTCAGAAAAGAATTTTCATGGCAAGCCATGAGCCCTTAATTCTGCCACTAACCATAAGTTTTCCTTACTCCTTGATTTGCAGCTTTACTCAAGCATTGACATTTGTCATTTCACTATCTCCCTTGACCTCTGGTGTCGTGGACTTGTAGGCGAAAAGTATCTGGTCTCACAGATATTTTCATGCTCTGACCTCTGTGATTTATCAACCATCAAATTCTGCCTTCAGAACTCAGGGTGCCATTTCAAATAATTTCATATACAAAAGTGGAATTATTGGGCAAAAGGGATCCTGTATAAGTGGGTACAAATGGGACACCAGGAGAACTGTTGCTGCTTTCTGTTCAGCTACTGGGGTAGCAGGGTGACCTTGAGGAAGTAGGTTCAGTCTAGTTTTGATTCCATTTTTGCATAGGGAAAATAAGGACTGTGATAATTACTTTCATTTGTAAAACACTTTAAGATTTATGGAATATGAACGATTGTTATTAAGTGAAAAGTGTTGCAAAGCTGGCTTAGCTGCACACTGTGCTAACAAAATCCCATATCAGCCTATTGACCTCGACATGAACCACTCATTAAAGTTTATAGGACATTTTGGTAGGTGAATTGAGGCGGTTATTCTGCTGGAAATAAAAAACACATTTAAATCCATCAGCTGCATTGACTTTTTTCTATATTAAAACTAAACACAACTGTTTGCTCCATCCAGTTTTCTTAGTTTATTTATGAAAGTTTATGAGTATGTCCTCACTGTTAACTCAGCTTGTATACCCATGGTATCTGAGATATTACAGTTTATTCTAGTCATAGCATAAACGTACAATAGCTGTTGTACTGAGATAGAGAATTATAAAACATTAAGATATCCAATAGAGCAGTATGAACTAACGAGTTGCATGGTTACTTTTGAATGCCAAATAACCTTTATGTAGATACTGCATTAATTTAATTTGTGCTTAAACTTTAGCTATGCGAGACATTGGTGTTTGAAAAGTTTATATGTATTTCCAACCTCAAAGTGTGTAAATTTAGTATTAAAGAAACAGATTTACAACAATTTGATTTATACTAGAGGAAAAAATACTTTATAACGAATGTGTTAAATGAGCTACTCTTTAAAGATAGGTCTGGCTTGCTTTCAGAATTATTATTTGTATAATAGTCCAAAAAATCTACAGATGTTTTCTTTTTGCTTCCAGATTAAATTTGGATTGTTTGAAAAGCGGGACGTTATTTCACCGTAGTGCAAAAAAGATACGAAAGAAGAGAGCAGGATGAGAGCTTCCCAAGTGCCACATGCCTGCATCCTGTTATCTTTAGCAATGCTGTTCCTTCCAGTCACTGGAACGTCAAAACAAAATATGCCAAGACTTAAGCTTTCCTATAAAGGTAAACTTTTCAGCAGTTTTTCTGATTCTGCCACTTTTGTTTTGATGTGCTGTTGCCAACAGTTCATTTGTATTATTAATCAGGAAAACGAAACACAGTTGTCCCTCCAGTTCCCAGAAAGATGTAACAGAGGCCTTAATGATGGATGAAGTCTGCCTAGGGACTGTATTAAATTTTCTTTTTTGGGTGGAGGGATACACATTTCTGAAATATAACTGGGTTTTTCAATCATTATTTCAGTTTACTTCTAGAGGATATTAATGCAACATACATAAATTAAGGGGGAATCATGGCCTAAACAAGCTTCTAGTGCTACTTGAAATGCCATGAGGCCCATTGGAGACATTCCCATGTGGCTTGTGGGGATGACATGGAACATGGAGAACATTCACATCTTTCTAGGGAATCAGGGAAAGTCAAGACACCTGGCCCAAGTGTTTCAAGCAACACGGATATATTATTTTTGTAATATTTTTTTTCTCTGTCACCATGTTGGTATGTGAAACTCTTGAAGTGTTGTTTTCTTTTGCCATGTCTTTGGATCACAAAAACATGTTTTTCTGAGGACTTTCTTAACCTTATGTACACTTTTTTGAGAATGTTACAGGCTGAGGGGTTTAAACACAAAGTAATTTTACAATTCTTTATTGAACAAGTACTTATAGAAGGTACATTTCTTGTTGCTTTGACTGTACAGTACACTTCCACAGTTTTTACAAGTCACAGAGATACATCACTTTGTTATTGTCTTCCTTAGCTAAAGCAAATGCTCCCCAGCTGGTTATTTTTCAGTCATGTCAGCACCCTGCCTTTATGGGAGCTAATTCTGCTCTCATTTTTTTCAAACTTAGAATCTTCATATGCATTACAGAATTACACTCAGGATGGTGTGATGGGACAAGAGGCTGTAAAGCCTTCATCGGTGGCTATGATATGTTTATCATACATTTAACACACACAGGAATTTATTGAGTAAGCGCAATGACATACTATTTATTTACAGGCTTCCCTTTTAATAGATTTGTATGCCACTGTGTATGGTATTCCCCTGTGTATATATGTGTTTGAATGTGTTTGTGCGAGAGAGACAGAGGAAGAGAGATCAAGGGATCTTGACAACATTTTTATAAATTCAGGAAACAGTTGCACTCACTTAAGCCAATGAACACAGAAACTGAAAGACCTGACATGAGTTATGAAAGTTAGTAATAAAACCCCTCTAACGTATACCGGGACATTTCACAGCTAGGCCTTTTGAGATAATTCCCAATAGCAGCATATACCATATGGTCCTGGCATTTATTGTAGATTTGACAGTCATGATTAGTGAATTCCTCTCAACTTCAAAAGCAGATAGCCTTTGGCAAAATCCTGATAGATGCGTTTGGCAGGTAAGGAGGGGGAGAGAGAAAAATTATTGAGGTCAACACAGGAGACAAAAAATTCGCTGAAATCTCAGTTTAAAATAATGGAAGAGACATGCTGGGAGTGGTTGGGAAAATGCCTGAGCTCGTTTAAAAAGACAATGAGTGGATGATTGATGTTTAGGCCCTGACCCAAATTTTTATTAGCAACTTTATAAACCTTTCACTTTGGCTTGAGGGATGCAGTTTCCTATCCAAACTTATCCACCTATATCCCTGTAGGGGGAAAAAAAGCAACAACAGATACAAAATGGCACATAAATCTTAATTTGGAGAGCTGTGATGGAACTGAAAAGCCAAAGGAAAGAGAATTATCAGACTTTATTGTGCCTCCTCTTCCCTTTTTTTTTTTTTTTTTTTGGGTGTGTGTGAGGGGGTGTTTTTGGTGGGTTTGTTTGGTTTGGTGTTTTCTGTTTGGTGGGTTTGTTTTTTCCACAGGGAACAATTAAAAAGTGCTTTGTTTTCACACATTTACATTGTAAATGATGCAAGTAGTGCCTGTCATAATTAAATCATGTCTTTATTGTTGACGACAGCATGGCAGATGTCCTGACTATTTAATATAGTTGTTAGAATGAAGCTTACCTTCCCCCTGCCCCCCTTAAGTATTGCAGCCAAAACAACTGCAAGGTTTCTGAGAATAAGGTGTAGGAGAAATGAACTGTCTTGCCAGTTCTCATAAAATTATTACAGTCATGTCATTGACAAGTCCTGGCATCTCCATTCTTTGGAATTATGACTTTAAATACCAGGAGGAGGATAATATGGGGCCCTTTTCCTTCTTTATGGAAAACTAACCAAAATTGGCTGCATCAGGCAGTTCTGAAAACCTGGTCACACATGTGTGTTCATTTGGCTGCTAAAGATGTTGTCTTTCAAGGGAAGGTTTCATCCCCTTCCAAGTACGATGTGTTTATGGGATGGCATAACTCCATCTCCCCAGAATGGCCGAGCATTTGCTTGGGCAGGATAGCTGGAAGCGAGCAGGACTTTCCCCTGCTCTTACTTCATCTCACAGCTGCAGCCCAGCATACCTCAGCTGAGGGCTAGGAAACGGCTTATTCCCATGCCCATGACATGTAAGGAGAAGAAAGGGAATGCCATGTGATGAATGCTGAGGAAGAAGTGTAGGGGACAAGAAAAGAGAAAGAAGAGGTATTAAAGAAACACAGATAAGGAGAAAATAGAGAGACAAAGAAAAAGTCAGCAGTGGATAGAGGAAGAGGAAGAAGGGGTAGGTGGGATGGCTAAAAGAAGTGTCTATAAGCGCAAGAGTGCTTCAATTAACCACAGTGTGTCACAAGCCCTCTGCTTTCAGACAGCAATTAAAATTTTAGAGGTTGTTTGCATGGCAGATATAGGTTATCATATTCTGTGATGACAGGGCAGAAATCTGTGCTGGAAATGTTAATATACAGATATTCCAGTGAATGATGTCATATGATGTATTTCCTTTATTGTTTGACCCAGTTCTAAAAATGCATTCTAGAAAATCCCACATACATAAACTACGAACGCACACAAGACAATTAAAATATGTTGTAATACAGGGGCAAAGTCATGTATACTCTACCTGTGTTAATATAATACACTATGGTCATTAATTACATACCCCATCCTATAATCCCATATTTTCCCCAATTCATCAATGGAATAATTATTCAGTATTTCTTTTTCTTTTCTTCACTTACACTTTAGCTTTCAGATATTGGTGCAGATGTCATTCATATCCCAGAAGTTGCTCTCATGATGGTTTTGGGATACTCTCACTATATAGACCTGAATTCATGTTTCTTAGATACTTTTACAAGATGATAAGGGGTTTTTATTACTATGTTATAGCTTTAATATTAGGAGAAAGTAAAGAAACTGTCTTCTAATAGAAGATTACCATCTTTGGAAAACTAGGGCCTGATTTTTGAGCATATTCCATATTTTAATAGTCTTTGTATAGCACTGCATTCAGTCACAGAGCAAGTGTGTATTTATCATTCATTTTCATGCAGCTGGAGGTACTCTGTGAACATTGTCCAAACTGCAGAAAATTTCAAGCACAGAAGTGACATTCAGCTTCCCTAAGCAGCACATCCTCATTGTCTGCTGCCTCATTTAACATCCTCATTCCAACCTCTGTAGCAAATGCAGAAGGTTCCTGCATACCAGTCTCATTCAATAATGTCATTTATGGGACAGCATCAGTCCTGTTCTAAAGAACGGAAAGGCCTGGGTCAGAACTCCTACATACAAATGTGTTTAATTCATACAGCATGGACAGTCTTATTTCTGTCTGTCTTTTAGGTAGTAGTCTTTGTCAATTTTTTGTCAGGTACTTTTATACAGAATTAAAAAAAAAAAAAGTCAACCTTTTCAATTTGTGGCCATCCAAAAATTTTCCAGTAGAAATCCAGACTCCTAATTGCATATTTGAGCCTGTTGATTTAATTCAATTTGTTGCTTTTCATGTACCTCTTAGTCTGTGCACTCAAAGAATAATTTATATTACAGAAGTGTGCATCCTGTTTTCTTGGTTGGGGGATATGCCCCAGCCCAGATTTGGACATTGTCACCAATAACATCCATGAAATTATATCATTTCCAACTATGGCAGTAATTTCAACCTGATAAACAAGAATATCATTCTCAGCTGATTTTTGTCTTCTTCACATTGAACAAGTTAAGATGCAGCCTCACTCCCACTAAAATCATGGCAAGAGTTTTGAATTAAATTGAAACAGGATCAAATTTCCACTCCTCCTTGCTTTTTTCATCTTAAATAAGTAAACTAAATATATGTGATTCTACTTCTCTGTTGAAGGATGACAATGCTAAATAATCATCTCCACATGGAAATTAACCCTGTTTAAGGATAGTTTAGCTTCATGCAGTGCTTTGCATAAATTATTTTCTTCCCCCTAAGAGAGATCCATTCTTACAACATGGTGAAAAAGCAAACAGAGGATAACACTTTGGTGCCAGGAACCCTTTTGAAAACTTGACTGGATTAATGCGTTTCCTTAATGTTTTTAAAAAGATCGTTTGAACTTGTTACAATGTCAAGCATCCTGTTTTTTAAATAATTTTTGCTTTAAACCTGTTTTATTTTATAACTGATAAGATGCTCAACTGTTGCATCAGGGCAGTTAGTTTGTTCTGTTTCAGTAAAGCTTGCTTATTTCCATGTCATGCATCATTTAATTATGCACATAAAATGTACTTCAGTTATATAGCTCCATGGGCCTCATTTAAACTGTCTGTGAGGTTGCAGTAATCCCAGTGCCACGATGGGGGTTTTGCACAACTATAAATGTTCGGAATGCGGTAAACCGGTGATGTACAAAAAAGCCTAGAATGAGCTTGCACTTCAGCATCTGTGCTTGCTCTACAGGAAGAGGAAGAAAAATTCACTAAAAACATGCTTTTGTGGTAATATCAGCAGCTGTCATTCTGAATGCCCATGAAGACCAAGGAAACGTGCAGAGTGAGGAAGTGCTGCTTTTCTTGAATTCCTTGTTTGTTGTTTAATTATTTTTTGATGATTTGTGATTTCTCAGAAAAAAATATTTCATTCTTTTGTAG